GATGTGCGTAGGCGAGTACTAGGTGGTGATAATCATGCTAGCTCCCTAGAACAACAGATAGCACTGAATGAGTTGCGTTGGCTCGGGCACGTGCTACGTATGCCTGGTCACTGCTTACCTAGGAGGGCCTTGTTTAGTCTGCCAGGTGTTTGGTGGCGCAAGGCTCGAGGTGGACAGAAGTTGACTTGGCAGTGGGAAATGAAGTCACTGACGACCAAACTGGGTGCCGTTGGTCCGTCTCGCCTTCCGGGCTGGAGTCCACGTGACTCGGCTTGTGCTTAGCTTGAGACTTTACAGGACATGGCTCGCAACCGACACCAGTGGCGCGTCTGCTGTAGTCTGCTAATCGGATTGTCTGTTTAAAGTGTGTTTGGTGCTGAGTTATTTGCGCGGTAATGGCTGATTATGACGTGTGGCAGTGAAAGCCGCAAGGAAGCTGTCTCACCGATGCCGCCTTATCTTTGCACGATAGCTAGCTGTTTGTGACGGCATGCTGTTAACACAATATGTACTCACCTTGACCCTGAATGTTTGCCTGGGACGTTAAGGTTTTCCGTTAAGTCCCCCTTCTCTCCCTCTTCTTATTCTTTGTTCCTTAGCTCACCATGGCTGTATGGCAGCGAAGCATCGGTTCACATGGCTGATGTACTGTTGTTGATGATGATGAGGACGCGAACGGAGCATTTATGAAGAGCCAGCTGGGTTTCGCTCAGGTTTTAGTTGCATCGATCACATCTTTCCACTTCGCCAAATACCTGAGCGTCATGAAACATCTGATCGGCCAACGATCGTTGTCTTCTTAGACACACGACCTGCGTTTGATTTCGTTGACCGAGCTGCTCTCTGGAGTTGTCTACTGAGAAGGACAGTGCCCGAGTATACGTCACCATACTTCAAGCTATCTACTCACAATTGTCGGGACGAGTTCGGGTGTACAGCTGGTTTGCGCCCTCCTTTAGTATCACAAGTGGCGTGAGACAGGATTACGCAGCATTCCCCCTCTTGTTCAGTCTCGTTATGGACGAAATCCTGGAGAGTACTCTGGAGAACTGCGAACCCAGCGGCGTGGAGCTGCTTCCGGTGGACTGACTTCGAAATTTGGAGTATGCAGACGACCTCGCCGTAATTTGCGATTTTTCGCAGGCCGCCCAAATTGTCCTGTGTAAGTTGGAGGTGACTAGTTCCTAGTTTGAAACAACCTTCACCCCTTCGAATTGTAAGGTCTTGCTGCAGGACTGGCTTTATGCTGCCATCGCAATGAGGCTGGACCTTACCGTGGTGCGATGATTTGCGTGCCTCAGAGATCTATTGAGCTATGCTGGGTGGTGCTTTTTTGTACCTTCAGAGCCACTCATACCAGATTGGTCAATGGTTAGAGGCCAGACAAACTCAGCCTCTTGGTCCTCCAGGTTGGGGGTTGGAATGGGGGTGGCTCCTCATTTCATAAAACGGGCTCTGTAGTCCAGTGCCAAACCCGCTGCCTTGCGGAAAGGTTTTTGAACCAAAGGCTTTGGTTGAGAACCCTAATCGTTCTCCTGTCTAGGCCTGGGCAACCTGACAGTATTCTGCCCACGCAATACAATGAACCTTTCCTACAACCATTTCTTGATGCTCTGGCCGTCGCAGAGGATAATAAACGGCGCCCTATCTGCTGCATCGAGCAGGGTGGATAGGGGTATGGATGCTACTGCTCAGGCCTTCCCGTCTTCTTATACCCCTTCTTGCGCTTCTTTATTCTTATCGTCCCGCTCCAACTTTACTTATATCCCCCCATCTTCTATCCCCCGATTCTTGGCCCTCCCTCACCTTGCTTCAATAGTCGCTTGTCTTCTAGTTTCAACTCACACACAGTCGCAGAGCGTCGCTCCATTCCATTCCAGTCGACAAGTCCATGTTCAACCAAACGGACAACGTCGGTTCATCCGTTTCTCGTTGAAGTCCTCGAGTCTCGCTATGACTGGCATACTTCAACGTGTGCTCTTTGCTCCAGATTGGCCAACAGGCAGCACTTACCCGCATACTAGAGACCCTATCGAACGACATCTGCTGTTTAGCAGAAACCCGCCTGCAAGATTCGAGCTCCGGGCTTACCCTGCGATCCGCACATGCGACATTGGTGGCGCATTCTCATTGCATCTGTCTTGCGATGATGCAGCTTCAAATGTCGGTCAAGCTGGTGTCTGCATTGCTTTGAGTCCACGGGCTGAAGCTGCCCTGATCGAGTGGATCCCAGTAAACAGTAGGATGTGCGCCGTTAGATTAGCTGGTTCGTTCCGTGCTACGAAGTCGCGCGGGGACAAACGGTGCCTGTTTGTCATTGCGGCCTACGCCCCTACAAACTGTAGCACTGATTCGGTAAAAGATGATTTCTATCAGCAACTTCACGAGATCCTTCGTTACAGAAGAAACACGGATACTGTGGTGTTTGGCTGGCGATCTAAACGCCCAAGTCGGAAAATTGTCCTCTGATGAGCTTCATCTGGGCGGCCAACATGGTGTAGGCTCCCGTAATGATAATGGTGAGCGATTGCTAAAGCTGTGTGAATTTGTTCGTCTCTTTCTGGCGAGCACTAACTTTCGACACAGCACCCGCAGATGCGTGACTTGGCGGCCACCAGCCTCGGGGCAGTCATGGACGCAAATCGATCATATCGCGATCCGTTACCGCTGGAGAGGCTGTGTCCAAAACTGTCGCTCGATTTGGAGCACGAGCGTGGACTCTGACCACGCACTTGTCTGTGCCGACCTCAGGGTGCGTTTCGGTGGACGTTCGCAACGTCGATGTGAACGGATTGACACCAGCCAGCTGGCGAAGCCAGATGTTCTGAATGTGTACCAAAGTGCGCTGACATCTGGGCTAAGTAAGCGCCCACTAAACACCATCGAAGATCACTGGTCGCATATTCGTCAAGCGTTGCTGTTAGCAGGCATGTCTTCATGTAGCAAAGCAAATTTCCAAACCGGACATTGGGTCTCTACACAGTCTCTGGAACTTATGGGTGGTCGCCGACGTATTCCGGCTGGAAGCGAATACAATGAGGCTCGCAAAAATCTCAGGACAAAACTACATGCTAGCATAAAGAAGGACCGCGAAACCTGGTGGTCTCATCGTGCCTCTGAGATGGAAACCGCCGCTGCCTTTGGTAATCATCGTAACTTATTCCGTCTGATACGGGAAACAGGCAGCAGGAAACCTGGTGTTAGCGAGACCATACGCGACGATAGTGGGCAGCTGATCCACAGCCTGTCAAAACGCTTGGAGCGTTGAGCTGAACACTTTGCAAGGCAATTTAACCAACATGAGCTATCGTTTTCTTCTTCAGGCATTGAGCGCCCTTCTCCCTGGGCCGTCTCCTCGGATCCGCCCTCACTCGCAGAAGTCGAACGCGAGATCAGGCTATTGAAATTGCATAAGGCCGCAGGGGCAGATAGAATTCCCCCAGCCCTCTTCAAATTCGGGGGACCTGCTCTAGTAGATGATTTACACGAGTTGCTAGTAAAACTTTGGGAGCAGGAGACAGTCCCGACAGACTGGAAGCGCTCCGTCATTGCCCCAATTTTCAAGGGAAACTCCCGTTTGGAATGCGACAGTCATAGAGGGATCAGTGTGATTTCGATTGCCTCTAAATTGCTCGCCTCTGTCATTCTCCACAAACTGACTGGCATTCGTGAAAGTCAGATTCCTGAAGAGCAAGCCGGATTTCGTCGAGATCGGGGCTACATCGACCACATCTTCACCTTGCGTCAAGTGTTGGAGCACCGCCATGTTTGTTGGCGACTCAACGTTGTCGTGTTTCTTGACAGAAAAGGTGCCTTCGACTCAGTCGATCGATATGCCCTTTGGGACTGTCTGCTGAGGAACGGTGTGCCTGATAACTATGTAAACATTATCAAAGTGCTGTACGCGCATAGTTCGGGCAGGTTGAGGGTTTATGGCAACTGTCGCCACCCTTCAGTGTCACCAGCGGTGTGAGAAAAGGGTGCCGGCTGTCACCTTTCCTCTTCAACTTCGCTATTGATAAAGTCATAGAAACAGCGTTCTCTGGACACGACCTAGAAGGTGTGGAGCTACTTCCTGGTGAGCGACTTCCTGACTTGGAGTATGCGGACGATCTTGCCCTAATCTGTGACAGATCCCAAACATGCCAAAACAGCACTGGACCGATTAGCACTGGCTGTCAATCGTTTTGGGCTATGTTTTACTCCATCGAAATGCAAAGTACTTCTCCAAGATTGGCAGGGACCCAACCCCACGCTAACGCTTGGTGGTGATCTGCTAAAAGTCGTTCAGGAATTCAAGTAACTGGGCAGCTATATTAGCACCCGTGGGATTGAAGATAAGGTTACGAACCGTATAGCAAAGGCTCGAGGTGCTTTTGCCAATCTCCGCCACCTGTGGCGCAGACGCGACATTACTCTCGCCCTGAAGAGCAGAGTTTACAACGCATCCGTCCGTTCAACTCTCCTATATGGATGTGAAACCTGGCCCATAGGGTCGACAGACAAAAAGAGGCTCGTCATATTCGATCATCTCTACCTTCGCAGCTTAGCTTATGTCTGGTGGGAGCACCACGTGAGCAATGAGCGTGTTCGACGTCGCGTATTTGGTGCAGGAAGAGCGAGTGAACCGCTCAGCACCATTGTATCACGCACCAGGCTCCGATGGCTGGGCCACGTGTTCCGCATGCCAGCACATCGACTCCCGCGACGTGCATTGTTTGCGCGTTGTGGGTGCGGTTGGAAGAGGAGGAGGGGAGGCCAAGTGATGACTTGGTCGAGAGAAATGAAAACCCTCACTTCGAAGTTGGCGTCGGTTGGTGCATCCCGACTGTCTGGCTGGGGTCCTAAGGACGATGAACACGTTTGATTGGACCCACTCGCTGATATGGCTTGGAGCCGGCCCCAATGGCGTTTGTGTTGTGAGTTCATTTGTCCATCCCTCTCCTGCTTAGCATCCCCCTCCAATCACCATCTCACTTGTTAGACATAATATGACTCTCTTTTACGGCAGCCAACTGTTAGCTCTCCGGAACGATGTCCATCCGTTACTGGGGACTCAGCGGGCGTGCCACCGTTTGTTTTCCTTTTCTTGTCTTTTGTATTGTGGCACAATAGCTGAGGTGTTTTCCACCTCCAGCTAATGTGTAATGATGATGATGGCTAGATGCTGCTGCTGTCTGTCTGTTTTGATCACCGCTGCTTTTGGAGCATTCCTGTTGTACGATGGCAACATCACACTAGCAATGCAGATGTTCGACGGAGGATTTTCGGACGAATAAACTGCTGGCGGCTGAACGGTATAATTTCTCTGCGCAGACTTCAATGGCTTGAGCATGTTCGCATGCCTGCTCATCCTTTAGCTTGCCGTGCCCTTTTCGCGCTCACAGAAGTCGGCTGGAAGCGAAAGCAAGGTGGCCAACATATGACTTGGGCGAGGAGTATGAAGGAGCTAACGTCAGTGTTAGGCGTAGTCTGGCGCTGTCGGCTCCGTCGCTGGGGTATGAGGGATCAGAAACACGCATGGCTGGAAACACTTTCGGATATAGTGAGACACCATTCACAATGGCGGACCCGTTGTGACACTCTTCCCATGAACACTGGTTTATATTCTTTCCCGATTGTTTCCAATCCTTTCTCAAATCATGAGTTCTCGATCATTTCCAAGTATTTTTCAAGATGATGATTTCTTTCCCTTTTATTTGTTTATTGTATTTTCCATACGTTTTTGCACCATGCCAATTGTACTGTTGGCCGTGTTAATCTTTATATAAATAAATAAATAAATATATATATCAGGTTAAGGATTCTCACCCACCGCATTTCTAGAGAGGCGTTGTACTTTTACAATGACACACCAGTATGATCCCTGTTTTGTTACCTTTTTCGTATTGTTGTAATTTGACTGATCAACTACCACAGGGCGCATAAGCAGTTTCCCGGCGCGCCGTCCCGGGACTTTGCCGCCACGCGACCACCGCACTTGCGCGTTGGCTGGATGTACCGCGAGGCGGGCCGCACCTGCGCGTATTCGAACCCTTGACCTCCGGATCATAAGGCAAGCGCGTGCTTCTTTCGGACACCGTCCAACAACTACAGTGGCTTTGTGTGGTAACTGGCACGCGACGCCTCAATGCCTATGCCGTTTCCGTGCACATGAACGCTTTGCTCACTGCATGTTTCGCACCTTCACAAGCTGTCCTTCCTTAGTGACCAATGCTTGTGCAGTGTCGCCACTGTCTGACTGGTGTCGAACAACAAGCCGTCTGGCATTCCACCGAGTACTCATTGACATTGATTTGTTTGCAGTCGCTACATCGCGTTTATGGCAGTTCTAATACTCGTATTTCTCAATATTTTTTTACCCAACCTGGTTTGTTGAATACAAGTTGGTCTGCCGATACTTCTACTGAATGACATCCGGGTGCTTTTTCTTCTCAGCCCGTTGCTTCCGGTTTTTCTTCTCAACTTTCCGTCCGCAAGCCCATCTTTTTTCTCCCATTCCCCCTACTGTTATCGGTTATCGTTGTTGTATACCCATCAAAATTCTGCGTTTAGATTTTACTTAACACATGAGGGAAATTGAGTCAATAAACTCATTTCTAGCATTCCTCACTCGTTGACGTTTTCAGATAGCCGCCGATTTCGAAAATGTCCATTTATCACAATTTGCCCCTCTGGTTTTCCTGTCTCGAATTAACCGTTGTTACTTTGAAGTATTGTATAATACACATTTTTTGCTTATCTTTGCACAAGATGTTCTTATCGGTATGCACATTTCTTTTCCTATTCAGGAAGCGGCCATTTTACCAGACTGGAGACAGCTTGCTGAAGAACTAACCAGTTATGTATCCGGTGATTTTTTACTAAAACAACTGCAGTTATGTTTTGGTGGAACTCCGCATCCCGTCGGGAGCCTTGAAAACTGTGCTCTTGCAGGTACTAATATTTTTTTTCATAGGCTTGCTGCTTCGAGTTGACTTTTCCTGCCAGGATATGTTTAACTCTTCTCTTGTCCAGCTTAGTGAACCAGTTATCCTCACGTAGCACCGAGATGCGATGGACCCAATGTCAGTGGCTCACTTTACCTAACATTGAAAGCACTGGCAAATTTACTTGCGCATCCACCGGGAAGGGCTTCGAGATGAAATAGGACAGAATCGGTAGTAAGAAACAGACCGTATACTTGAACATCAGTAACTACGGCTGCGCTGTTGTGTACTCTCTCACTACTAATGTTACCTCCCCTTAGTTCTCTATCGCTCATTCATCGATTGACCACAATGAGGATTTCATTAACCAGATACACATGCAAATTGTTCATACCCAGGTACATGCTTAGCTTGCTTACGGTGGACAGGCAAAAGCTATTGTGGGACGTTCAAGCACAACAGCAAGCAGTTTGATACGGTTAACGGAAGCCAACATTTTACCGACACTGGTGCTCAAAGTGAACCACCCTCTTAGCGTCCTGTACACGCATTAACACAGCAGCACTGACTGAATTGTAGGATTTTACACTCTCTTCCGTGTCATCAAGTCGATATTTTACTGCCTTCGTAGATGATTGTGATTGTGAATCATCACATGTGCCTCATTGCGCGGCTTGACGCCTCGACATCATGAAGCCACCTTTTGCTGTTTCTCGTGGACCCTTACTCTATATTGGTTTAAAAGGTACATGATTGTGCCGGGTAGCATTGACTCTTTCCATTACCAGGACATTTGTCATCCACTAACCTTCCATAACTGTCCTATTACTTCTGGTCGATCACTTTTTTAATAACTGCTCGAACACCATGAACCCTGCCGGCCATTTCCTCTTTTCGGGAAAAATGATGGAGGCATCGTGTACGGGCATATATGGATTTGTACTTTTTATGCTTGACGAGGTTGACACACATTCAGACCATACACAACAATGGAGGGGGTGACTTGTGTCGACAAGTACCGTTGATGCTCTTCTCTTGTATGAGCAAACGTGAGTGGATACAAGTATATGAACGAACGTCAGCTCCGATACACCGTTGCATCGCCAAAAGGGTTTTAAAGACTTGGAGATTAATCTAAGGTCCTTACCCAATGGACCAGGAAAAGTTACTGCTGAGTAGTACGTCCAGTGTGGAAGAACACAATTACGACAAAGCGAAGTATCAAATCAATGGGGTCGGAGGAAGCTCGCAGACGTGAGGCATAGAACGATGACATCCGGACTTTTGTGAACGTTTCTTTTATGTAGTGTGACCGAGATAAATCGTAGCTTAGCAAAACACACAAATACTTTACCAATGTGGAATAGTGTAACCTCTCTCCATCGATGTTAATTCGGGCGTTGCTGGAGCAGCTGTTGTTATCGTTCGCCCCTGTGCAGTGAGAAAATGACATTGCATTTTGGCACATTGGGCAGCAGGTCGCGGGCTTGTAATCTAATTGTGATGAACCAAACCGAATCATACCCACATCCGTCTACTCATTAGTAATCAAAAGATAATGTCATTAAGAATATCTTACAGTCTGACTGAATAGGCATTCGTCGATTGATTGACACCCAGGACAATGTCATCTGCGTGTTTCAGCAACGTTGTCTCTCCTGGGACTGTTATTGAGCATAAATAGTTAAAAAATAGAATTGTTGACAGAATTACACATATATCTCCAGCCAGCACTTGGTTTCTCTTCGGTACCTTGCTTTCGCTTACCATTCTGCTTAGGGTCACCCGGGGTCAAATGTGTATAAATTAGGCATGTTTTTCATGCGATTGCTCTGAGCGAATTGTTAATCTATTTTATTCAAGTTTTACTTCATAACTTTTACATTAGGCTTATAAGCACACATAAGCAGATCAATGAATTTATTTTTGTCATTAAAATATACCCATTTCCCCCCATAGTATACCTATTTTACCCCATGGCCGGGGAAAATGACTATACGCCGTGGTAAAGTGGGTATCTCACTTTCCACCAGCAATAACTTCATTTTACAATAAAATAATGAAGCTGGTGTCAACAAGTTTCACACAAAATCAGGATATTAACAAAATTTATGATATCAGTATATAATCTTTTAAAGACAATGTTACTACAAAAACATGTAATCGTGATACTACAGTGTTTGTCAATGGTGTCTGTGATATAAGCATTTAACTGACAGCATATTAATAGTTAAATGTATATTGTTCTCGGCTATTACAAGCAGCTTATTGTTATATTACCCTTAGCCTAGAGGTAAGGAGCTTGTCTCGTACTCTTGCGGCGCGGGTTCGAATCCGCGTAAGGGTGGGCGTCCTCGCGGTTATACTCAACCCGCGTGCGACTGGTGTTGTTTGCACGGCACCGATGTGCCGTTACGACCTACAGCTGACACTTCTTGTTTGTTATATTGCAAGCAGGTTGAGGCATCGTTTTAAAGACACTTTTAGCTGAGACATCAATAATGTCCTCTTTTTCTGGAAAAACCTTGTAGGGCCCAACCGATGATTTAGTCAAAAATTTCGCCGTATACAAGCCTTTGTCTGGTATTTCAATAACAAGTCCCAAGAGTTTATGCACATTCCTTTTACCTTCATATTTACCTGAAACCTGATCCCCAATGATTATATCGCATGGATCTTCATCTTTGCTCATTTGTGTAAATTCTCTAGTCTGACATTCTTTTGAACTTGTCCTCGATTTATTGACTTTTCTTTTCTTTGCTTCCTTTAGAAACCCGGCTGATACTTCTGTCACTAATACTTCTCCAGGCATTTCCTGAACTCTCTTTTCTCGAGCATTGCCCATGGCTTCCAAGTTTGTGAGCGAATACCTCGATCAAATTGTCTTTATGGTTGCTTGCTGTAAAACTTTAAGCAGTGATAGTCCAACATTAATCGAAGCAGACTGTGGCGTATCAGAAGTGCTTGGTTGAACATCATCGACTACATTTCTTTGTCTTTCTGGTTCCAATGCTTCTGTAACTGAAATAACGGCATGGGTAGTATCCACGGAAATTACATTTCTGTGCTGAATGACCAACTGGATAGATCCCACTGCATCTGAATCCATTGACAACATTTTTCTGCGGCATTCGGTCAAACAGGGAAGGAAAAACTTCCATGTTAACGTTGTGCAGTCTGCTTTCTCGAAACCACGTCTTCGGTATAGACTTCCAGGCCAAATTTAAAGGTTTCAAGACACCGACGTCTAGTGGTTCAAGTGCAGGCTAGTGTTTGGTGGCAAACATCATTATTATTATGTATTTATCCATGGCCAACTTTACTATCCTGTTGGTGGGCTGGTTGCCATGTCCATCATAAATAAGCACAATTAGTTTCTCCACATGTGCTACACGTTCATTAAAATGCACGAACCAGAATTCAAAAACGGAATCCTCCATCCATCACGAGTTTGTAGCGTCAAAGCATGATCCTGCGGGACCACCTATAGTCCAGGATTGATAAAGATGTAACCCTTTATAAATGATAATAAAGAGGAAGATAACACCCAGTGGCTAAAACGCAGAAAAGGACACTGCAATTGGCTTTACCTGCGCGTGTTGAATTGTAATAAGCATTGCGTGATGACACTGGTACAAGCAATTTTGAAACTGTGATCTGTTCCTAACCCTGCTTCATCGAGATTAAAGATCCGATGAGGCTTGGCAAGTATGTTAACACTTTTTTATATATTTTGGATGAATTATTAACAACCAGTCCAAAAGTCCTTCAGATCTTGTTTCTGTCGAAACTTCCGGTTTTCAACGTGAAAGTACTCCGCTCTATCTCTTTTAAATCCAAACCTCTAATCTTCGCCAGGAGAGTTTTCCTTGAACTTGTTGGGCCTTCCAGTTGATTCTTTGTAAAATGTGATCATGGAAACTAGGTATGTACCATCCCCCGGGACAACCAGTTTCTGCTAAAATAGCACAAGCTGCGGGCAAGTATCCTCTGCTCATCAACAGAAAGTAAAGGAGGCCGACCGGAACCAACTCGCTTGAGAGACCGAACGATCCACCTTCGTATCGTCTAGTATAGAATTTTCTCCTTGGGAACTTTCCATATTCATTTTTTCAACCAGATCTTGCAATTTCGAAGCCTTCCAGTGAATATTTTGTTGTTGTTTTGCGATTGTAATCTCGTGGCATTTTTCGCAACTTGATTTGAAGTAGGGCTTGTTTTGATTATTTCCCTAAAACCAGAAAATCTTCATAGGCACAATTCGTATGTACTACAGTCTACAACTATCAACTCACATTGTAAAAACTAGTTGGCACATTATAAGTTACAAATAACATCAAACGCTTGGATTCGCGAAAATTTTGTCAAGTTTTACCGTAAAACGCAGACCTCCCCACTTTACCCCATGTAAGTTGCTCAGTAGTTCATTTTGATCCATATGTAGACTCAAAGAAAAAGTTTTACTGATCACTACTACGCAACGCATGCCAGTCCGAGTTTAATATTCAGTTATTTTCCAGAGAAGTTTTTCCAGCTGGTATAGACAGATGGCAGCCACAAACATGATGACGGAGTTTCTTGTATTGTACTAGCAAGGCAAAATTATGTCAGATTATGTAAAGCAGCCACAAAAACCATTCAGTTCTATTAAAAGTCTATAAGTGTTCATACAACTTCAACCAATTATTTAATCCTGTTTTTAATCTATCCTTATACCCATTTTACCCCGCGTGGTCCTACTTCATAAGCACCGTTATTGACGATACAAACACGTTTTCTTGCAAAGGAACGTTTAACTCTGAAACGCTTCACGATTTCCATCTGCCAGACATGCTTCCTGGTTCTGGGATTCCGCGTGTGAGCCTTACCCTCTGAGCTTAACTCCGCGCGCCACATCCCAGCCTGCGCACAACCACTTGCAGTTGCTTGGCAGCAAGGCATCGCTGTTAGGTGTTGATGATACCCTTTCATTTTTCTCTGTGAAATCATTAATTTCTGGATCTCTGTTCTATCACTGATATATCCTCTAATATCACTACTCTATCTTCGATTTGACCGATTCATTGGTTGTCACAATTCTGCAGAATTAATCGCGTCTGACTGGAAGTCATGGGGCATCCCGGTCGTACAGTTACAAGACTTTTTTGTCTCCCTCCCCCTCGGGCCACCGTCCTGCGGACCCTGGAATGAAGTCATTCTCGTGTCGTCCGACGGTTCCACCGTACTTCATAGATCGAGAAACTTTGGTAAGCTGTTGTATTTTTGTCATCCTTTATCTGCTTGGATGACACATTGGTTACCTTTTCCCTTGCTGTCTGAAACAACAGCTGTCTGAAACAAACCAAATGCTTACTCGAAACATAAAATGCTCGTCTACGCCCTAGAGTGCGATCTTATTGTCAAGGGCCGCATAGTTTTTGCATCAGTATCACCATCCTCCTTGTTTTTTTGCATTGTTCCAGAATCAACTGATGGACGACCATGTTCTCCCACTAGGATATGTGCTATGGTACTAATCAGAAACCCGGATTAGCGTAAACTTCCACACTCCAAATTCATCAGTGTAATTGACATGTAAGGAGGTGACCGTGGTTTGCGAAAAGGGTAAACAAAACAGGATTGTCCGACGCTTTTCCAGATGTGTGGGAGACTGTCTGATCTCCAGCTCACTGTGCTGATTCATCTATACATAACTTCGAAAATCCCCTACTTCTAGGTGAATAAACGAATGAATAAATAAATTGTATTTTTCTTTTGGACGAGACTCGTCGGTTACGACACTCTCAAGTGACTACAAGCATATTCTGGTGGAACGACTACGAGTGATCGGAAAATGTACAAAAACACCAAGTTTTCTAGTACCATCTTTGTATGTGTGTATGTTCTTGCTCAACCGCCCTGCTGCTCAGGCCGTTGTACCAAACGCTCGGAAGAGCAATCTGGATTTCTCTCGGGTCGCAGCACCTTAGATACGCTGTTTGCGGCTCGTCAACTTCAGGAGAAATGCCGAGAGTAACACCACCCATTGTACTTGCCGTTTGTAGATTTCACAAAGGCGTTTGACATGGTGAACCGTGAGGCACTGTGACTGGTGTTCGGTAAGTTTGGTTGTCCGAGTAAACTTTTAAGTCTGATTGAATGCCTGCATAGTGCTATGCATCTGTAGGCACAAATCTCGGATAACTTTGATGTCTCTGGTGTGAAACAAAACTATGTTTTAGCCCCTGCCCTGTTTAATATTTGCCTTCATGCAATGATGTATAGTGCTTTTTAGTGCTGCTTATGATTACAGTGTCTTTGGGAAGCACCGTATTATCGGTTGGCCACTGAATATCCATCGTTTTGGTGCGAGAATCAGTAGGTGAATCAAGCATCTGGATACTGTTATCCTCAGATGGACTGCGCGTTGTTTGCACACAACGAGAATGAGTTGCAACGTACAACAAAGGCTTTCACTTCGACAGCAACTAACTTCGGACTAACAATCAACAACTGTTTGTCTTTTTCAACCGTCATTTGGACTAGAATGCTTCGCTGCCCGCAAATCAAAATTGCTGGTGAAGTTTTAGACGCTTCACCACAATTTTGCTCTGCTTCGGAAGCGTATTGTGAACCGATGGCCAGTGAGCTGCGCGTCCGCGTGTCGAAGGTAGGTGATACATTTGGCAAGTTGGAACATCTAGCGTGGATGAATCATCAAGTAACCTTTGGGACCAGGCTGACGGTGTACAAATCTTCTTTACGGCAACAGAACATGGACGCTACACAAGAAGGACCTCCGATGTTTAGAGCGCTTTCATCAATTGTGCTTGCGTCGGGTTCTGCGCATCCGTTGACGTGATAGAGTTGCTGACACAGAAGTGCCTTGCCGAAGTGGTATGTATGGAAGGAACTGCATACCTTTGCTACGCCACTTGTGATGGCTCGGACATGTACGGCGTATAGATGTAATGCGAATACCGAGGCGCCTACTACATTGTCAACTGAGTACAGGGAAACAGAACGTGACAACACCGGCGTTATATTACCAGGACATAATCAATGTGGGTTTATCGCGAACTGATTCTGATTTTAGGTGTTGATACTCAAACGCAGTTGATCGGCTCGAATGGCGTGCGCTAATCATGAGGGCGTTTCCTCAGGTGCAAGAGAAATCACAATTACATGCGGAAGTGGAACGCCGGGTACGGAAGAGACAAGCGCTGATGGAGGGCGGACCATTTGACATTAAGCGCATGGTGCTGCAGCGCATGCGGTCGTGATTACCTCAGCCAAGCCATTAGCGCGGCTACGGTACCATTCTTGAATTGGCTACGAGTAAACTGATTAGATCATCATCAGCGTTGCACTTGGTGTGTATGCTGCTTTCGATTGCATTTGCGAACCCAGGATAATACTCCCATCGATGTGGTACTTGTATTGCATCATCGCTGCAGTTAGTTTGTACGTGTGCCTGCGAGTTGATTTGCTTGCATTACAGGTGTTGGCTGTTGATTGGTGTCGCCGGTGTGGGTGGGCTTGATGTGCATATTTACAAGGAGTGTGGGCCAACCCCGTTGTTGAAACGTCGCTCCCATCTACATGTCTCCCGGTCTTATTCCTTCTGGCTTACACTGGATATAGAATGTGTGGATGGTGCTGGGTGTAGTGCCTCGGAAGCCACCCATGTTGCCTTTGTAGTCACAGGCGTCCTGTGTCTATCCTATGGAGGCCACAGTGACGGGCAGATCCGGAATCCACTGCAGCCATCCATATAATTTGATTTGTGTACGTGCCACCGCATTTGTGACTGTTAGATCGGGTCGCCGGTATGAGAGGGGATAGATGAAGTTTTCATTATCATCATTAGCAGTAAATTTGCCATTTGAAGTGGTGCCTTGCTGCCGTCCAACCACGGTGACTTAGACAACGAAGAACCGTTATATCATGAACCAGACTTCAATGTCTGGGCCACGTGTTGCGCATGCCAGCCGAGCGACTCTCGCGACGTACGTTGTTTACTCGCCGGGGTGTGGACGGAAGAAGAGGAGCGGTGGCTAAACGATGACTTGATCAAGAAGAATGTAGGCTGGGTAAAGTAGTTGACATGGAAAAGTGCCGACCTCGGTGGCATTTGTGATGCTAATTTCTTTGTCCATTCCTCTCCCGTTTAGCCTTCCCTCCTCAACCACCATCTCATTTACTAGGCATGGTACTCTCTTTTTTGCGGCACACTAGCCTGTTGTTAGGTCTCCGGAACGATGTCCATCGATTACGGATGACTCATCCGGCGTGGCTCTCTTGCATGATGATGATGATGGTGATGATGATGATGATTATTATTATTATTATTATGTATCGCGGTACAACAGCTGAGGTGTTTTCCATCTCTAGCTAATGTGTAAAATGATAATGATGATGAGGGAACGAAGGATAAGTATAGCTAGTGAAGGTGGCCAGCGTAAATCCTTTATGCCTTATGCAAACATTCAGGATCAAGACGCCTACACTTTGTCGGCAATATGCCGTCACAACCAGCTGGCTATCGTGCCAATATAAAACGGCATCGGTGAGATAGCTTCCTTGGGGCTTTCACTTCCCGCGTCATAATCAGCCATTACCCCGCAGATAGCTCGACACCAAACGCACACTTTAAACAGGCAATCCGACTAGGAAGTGACAGCAGACACCTGGCGCCGACTACCAGTTACGTACGGTAATGTCTCATGCCAAGCACAAGGCGGGTCACCTGGACTCCAATCTGGAAGGCGAGACGGACCCACGGCACCAAGTATGGTCATCAGTGACTTCATTTTCCGCTGCCAAGTTAACTTTTGTGCACCTTGAGCTTTGCGCTACTCTACGTCTAGCAAACAAAACAAAGCGCTCATATGTAAGCCGTGACCGGGCATACACAGCACGTGTCCAAGCCAACGCAACTTATTCCGTGCTATCTGTTGTTCTAAGGAACTACCCTGATTATCACTGCCTAGTACTCGCCTACGCACATTATAGTTGCGGACACGCTGGTGCCATCCCACACGAGCAAAGCTTCGCAGGCAGTGATGGTCAAAGACTTGAAGGGGCCACAGATCCTCAGACCGAAGACGCCAAGTCTCACGCCTATAGAATAGGTTGGCCCTCATTGTGGCCTTGTAAACACGGCCTTTTAAACTGAGGGAAATCCCCTTCTGCCGCCACAGATAACGCAGATTCAAGAAGGCAGTTCTATGTTTTGTAATACTTGAACTAACTTCATTGCTTATGCTCCCATCGTTACTGATGCAGCTGCTAACTTCCGTGAAGTGATCAATTACCTCTAGTTCCTCGCTGTCAAGTGACTGGTGGTCCTGCAACAACGCTTTGCACTTTGAAGGGGCGAAGCATATGCCAAATGTTGGGACCACTCTAGAGATGTTATCATCATCATCATCATTGACATCATTAAGCAGTATGCCAATATCGTCCGCATAATCAAGCCTAACTAGTTTTCCACCAGACAGCACGACAATGCCAGCATCTTTCGATTCCACAAAAGGACACTCCGTGACGAATTACACGAAAGTGGCACAAAAATCGTGAAGTTAGGCAACCCTGACGGATGCCATTTCTGGTCAGGAAGATATTTGATACTTCACCATAAACCCTGACGCAGCCTATGGCGTTCAAGTATAGGGAATGTAAATTGTTTGCGTATTCTATGCGAACACTTTTCCCCGCCAGTATTTCGAACAGAATTGATCTATTGACTGATTTGAATTCACTATTGAGGTCTAGTAACACCGATATTGTCGGTCTGCCGTATTTGTGGCGCTACTATTGCACCTGCCGCAGAGTGAATATATGGTCTGAACAGCCCCGTTCTGGGTGGAAAACTACCTGCTCTTCCCTAATCCTGGCTTCCCGTTCCGCAGTGAGGCGACCAACGAGAACTGAGACTATTACTTTGGTCACCACTTGTATTGGGCTAATACTCTTGTGGTTAGCACAATCGGTGCGACTGCCCTTCTTGTATATTGCCACTATAATCGATTCACTCCAGTTAGCCGGGATGGTCTCTTCCTTCCAGACCTGTTCGAACAGAGGTCAGTGCTTTGCAGAGGACCTCACTACCATCCTTAACTAGTGCGGATGCTAGGGAATCTGAGCCAACAGCACGAAAGCGATGGAGGGCTGTTATCATGTTTCGGACCTCAGCTTCCGTTGGAAGCTCTTAACTAACCGTCTATTGTTAAACCTACGTCACCCGATTTTTCAGTGGTCCGAA